ATGTTTAAGTATTGTTTCATGAGAAACATGCAATTTCAGGGCCATTTCACAAGTGTGTTGCCTTGGGTTAGACTCAACAAGTGGCTTCAGAGCATGAATATCAATCCAACATGTTGGCCGTTGCCATCACAGTTTTAAGGCTTAAGTCACCTGAACAAAATTTGCTGAATCATCATTGACTTTTATGAATATGCAAAATATTTCCATAAACTTCTTTGATATTCTTTGTACCTACAGAGGCATTGTTTCCCTTCTTGTATTCAAACAGCATTACATGCCAAATGTGTGTCTTATTGTATGCCATCACTGTAAGGGATTAGAGTATACTAAACTTTACACATTATATAAGCTACACTAACGAGACGAGATGTTAGGAAGGTCGTTTAACTACTATATGTGATGTACGTTTTTTGGGGGGGTGTTAATGAAATCGTTCCAAAATGTGTCATTAATTTCTTGACAACCTAATAGATTTGACATTAGTTTCATAGTTTAGTTTTCAATTTTTCACACATGTAGTCAATTATTCATACATAAATGAACACATTGTAAATACTTGTTTTATGTTTTATACTCTACTTCTTTAAGTATACAATTATTCTGTTGATAAACTGGTGCACAATCGTTGTTCAAATTCACAACTTAATTTTTAATGCTATATGTAAGGTGAATATATGTTTTAACTTTCAGATATACTTTCAGTATTTAACAATCATAAAAAAAACCATTAAGAAACTGAAATATTCAGATATGATATCTTTAGATATAAATTTAATATGTGATATTCAACAGAAAAACTTGGATAATATTAACATGTTAACATAATTGTGTTTTCAGTAAATAACTCATAAAATGAAAATTTCTATTAAGTAAAAAATCAGTTTTTCATGCAATTAAGTAAATTACTAACACAATGCTGGTCAAAAACAGAGCATAATATGTAAGAAAGTTAAAAAAATACATATTGTACCATACTGGCGAGTCAAAGGAAAGTTGTTGTAATGTTTAAGTAAGAGGGATAATACTGGAATAAGGTTAGAGCTATTTTATAAACTAAATATTGTAATTCATATTACAATATTTGGTTTATAAAATATTGTAATAGAAATTAATCATTATGGTAGTATAGACTACACAATATTAAATGAAGACTACCTATTAATATAAAACTAGCATATAGTCTGTCAAAAATGATGGAACAAGTACTACCCCCCCACTCCATAGTATACCTTAACCTCACATTTCATAGCTAACTGAAATAAATAAGTTTCATGAAATCAAGCTTGACCAACAAAGAGGCAGAAAAGTGCAGTGAAGGCAGTCAAACATCAGTAAGTTCCTTTGTGAACCAATCAAAATTAAGATCATTAATGAAATGAATTCATGACATATTCATAGAATAATTATTGGTTAAAAATCAGTTAGATTAACAATTTCTAATATATAGAAAAGCCAGTGCATTTTGGTAATGCTACGTTCCAACAACGGCTTTTATGTCATGTCGCTTAGCAGCAAAAGCATAACCTAATATTGTTGTTTGTCTATGTACTGAAAGTATAAAATGAAATGTATAAACAATAAACTGGAAATACATCTGTTGATTTCTTAATTTAGAGTCTCCATTCATTAAAGAAGTTTGTTTTTTATTAAAAACATTGGTGATATAACAGAAAATAGTTTAATTCAGAAACTATTTAAGTTTAAAATTGAATCAATATTTTGACTTTCATGATAAATTTTATGCATTTGGCTTTAGACTAGGTGATCCCACACTAGATTTTTACTTTAGGCTTATTATACCAACACTTACTACACTTATAAAGTTTCATGGCACACCCTCACCCTCATGCCCCCCTATCACCCTCATCATAATAAAAGTATCAAACTATTCTATCTGAATAAATGCATTTTGGTTTTTATGACTCTTCCAGAGAAATCAAGTGTGATGTGTAAGTAATGAATCAGTATATAAAACACTGGGCATCATTGCAAATTATGTACCAATAAAGAGTCCAGTACCTTAAAGTTATGATTGAATTTATTGGCCAACTTCTGCACAATAACAATTATGATTCATCCATTTAACTTTAAATATTTGTTAACATTAACTACATATCACTTTATAGAATCTTGTAGAAATATTTCATAATAGAAAGTAGTAATTTCATGAAGGTACTCTATACATAGACCAGTATTACTACAGTAACATATCCATTCAGCTTACTTTCCTTTTACAGGATCTATCTTGTATTACTTATAAATGTTTACTGCTGCCACTAAACATACTCCATACTTTGTGAGAAATTGAATAAAAATATATTTTGGATATGTAGGAAATAAAGTACTTATATATTGATAAAACAACTTATTTGAGTGCAGGCATTATCCATAAATGTATCAAATTTTAAATACTTTATTAGTTTTGGCCTCAAAAACTTACATGAAAATATATGTATTTATGATATGTATCTATGGGGTTTTGAGTCTGTTTTACTCTATCATACAGAACCTAAACTAATTTAGGTATGTGAATAATATTATGAAATTTCATTGAATTCATTATTCAATATTATACAGCAGACCAACTGTTGAATGACTAGATACATATATTAAATATTTCTTGGTGAAAAAGAAATCTTCTATATACTACTAAAACTCTAAGATTGTTTGTCTGTAATTAAATACAGCAAAAATGGCACACAATAGCTCCATATTTGTAATGAAATGAGAATAGAAACAGAATAAAACAAGTTTTGTTAAAATTGGGCAACAGGTTACTGAGTTAACGCCATTTTTCAGGTCACTTTTATGAAAATGTCTAGATAAATTTAGGTACACTAGATGGCGCCATATATCAGTTTATCCATCTATCTATATATATATATAAATACTGTTAAAACACTGAGATTGTTTGCTTGTCTGTAATTTAATACAGCAAAAATGATGCACAATAGTGCCACAGTTGTAATGAAATGAGAATAAAAATAGAATAAAACAAGTTACATTAAATATTGAAATTAGCTTGAATTCTTCATAACCTCTGAATATTGGGTGACCCAATGGGCCCAACTGTTACTATGGTGTATATGAGAGACTGTGTGATAAGAAATAATGACATTATCCAACTGTTACTATGGTGTGTATTAGAGACTGTGTGATAATAAATAATTTTGGTCACTTTTATGAAAATTTCTAGCATGAGTAATTTTACAGTACACTACCGTTCACGCTCTTTACGAAACTTCTTACTTCAATTTTTTAAAAATGAAATTGTCTTTCCTTTTACTCCCGATCAACAATCAAATACCCTTTCTTGAATTATGAATAACATGAATGGATTGAAATATTTATTTAAATTATCTCAAATTCTTTATAACCTCTGAATAGTGGGTGACCCAATGAATCACGGTGGTCTAGTTATTTATAATATGTATTCTTCTGGACCTTTCACTTTTTTAATTACAACACTGTTAAATACTCTCTCTCTGGGAGTATATAATCAGACTTCAAACATACATATCAGAACATAACTGTAACCAATTTGTTACCTAAAAATGCATTCTTCAGTGTTTAGCAAGTAAGCACAGCAAAGAAAGCTGTTTCAGTAGGTGTGGGGTAACTAATATTCATTTCTGCTTAGAGTAAGCTATCTACTTGAATAATTAATATTTTTTGATTTGTAATTTTATGCCTAAGTCACTTAATCTGAAATTGCTCACTTTTAAGTTTTTAAAAATGCATAACATTTCTCAAGATTACTTGGCATCATCAGGTGAGGTGCATTCACTTTGTTAAATGATGTAAGGTCTGAACATTAAATGTATGTATGTATGGGGTAAGAGAATGCAAGAGGGGAACTGCCCTCTACCCATGAAGATTATAAGAACCTAACAACAAAGTATCAAGTTTATGCTTTTACTCTCATAATGTTCAACAAAAACCATGCCACCAGCATCTTTTAAAGGCTCAATCCCCGATTCATTGATGTAAAATCTTGTCTCATGGCCTCAAAATTTATTTTCTGAAAGTTGAGAACTAAAATTTTATTTTTTTTGTCATCTTAAGACATAATAAGATACCAAGTAATTATGCATTGAGCACTCTTTCCCCAGATGTTCCCAAAACTCATCTCTTACACCCATGTCCTTATTAGTGGTTAATAATAAGCCTAAAATAGCATCTTCCTGGTTAGCTTTGTGATAATGTGGCATAAAACACCATTCTTTATCACTTCATGAAATCTCTCTCCCTCACTACTTGACTCCATAAACTCCCAATCAATGTGTCTAAAATTAAAGCCTTCCATAAGTACTGCATCAGTATTCTTATTAATAATAACCTTGATCTCATCATACAGTTTATTACTAACCTTATCTTTCTGATCAGGGAGACTGATTGGATAAAGGTCTCTGATTTCTCTATGCTGAAATATGAAACAACAGGATGAAAGAACAGAAGATTATGATTTAGAGAGACAGGCCAGGGTGATTAGCTTATGAAATGAGTTACCATCCGCAGTAGCAGAGGCTAGCACCTCACAAACTTAAAAGGGAAATTTAAGATTACCTGAAATACAAAGGTGGGTTTAAATTTTACTTTTTTTTTCATGGCTTGTTGTTGAGCCAACAAACCCAACACAATCCAGCATCTTAAGTCACCAACACATACAACACAGTTGAGCATCTTGTTCTTAAGCTGGCAACACTCAATACAGCCTAGCATCTTAAGCTTTCAACACATACAGCACAGCCCAGTATCTTGAACTTCCAACACAACCCAGCTTCTTAAGCTGTCAGCACTCATGACACAGCCCGAAATCATAAGCTGTCAATGCATAACACAGCTTTACAACATAAGCCATGAGCATAATGCATCACCTCTAAGTGAGAAATGCTTGTACACACAAACACACTACAACATATGGATAGCAAGATATAATTTTGTATTTCAGAGCTGTTCCTCTGCACTGCTGTATACCTATATACAGCAAGGTGAAGAGTAGTCTGCTTTGGACTTGAGTCCTGGAAATTCAGTCAATACAAACTTCAGTTTCAAAGCATATGTAAGCCAAGGGTTATGGGTACAAGCTCTGGTCTGAGTGGATTTCTTAACAATAACATTAAAATATACTATAGTATTAATTTTATTATGTATTCATGTTATCCCATCTATTAATCTGGTTAGCAAGTTATGGAGAGACCACACATAGAAAATAATTAACTCCTAAGGCTAAAGCATCCACAGCTCAAAAATAATTTCTATTCATTACTATTCATGTATAACATTAATAAATTAATATATTTCTCTTGTCAGAGTTCTTTTCACTGGTACTGGTATGGTGTTAATTTTTGGCGATGCTGTCAGTACACGAGTACAGATATATCATTTACGTTTATTTTCTTATTTTTAAGTTTTAATAATTATACTCTCACCATTAACTTTGTTAAGTTTAACTGAGTCGATCACATACTAGTCTGTTGTGCAAGTTTTACTGATAAACATATGTTTACATTCACTTAGGCCTAACATCCGTTGAATTAAATAGTGACTTAATATATCTCAATTTCTTATCTATTTAACATGAAATCAATTAGTCATAAAATAACAACAATAAAAAAGGAATATATATCAAACACGCAATCAACTTACCTAAAAAGCTTGTCAGATGTGAATATGCCATTCTTAATCTCAACCAGAAGGTAACGTAAAAGTTGCAATCGAAATTTTAGACAACAGTCGTACACGTAACAGAAGTTAACCATGCGTTAAATTCACACGAAACAGAAGATACTTACCGTTTCCTCACTCTTTATTCGAGTTTTGCATGGAAAACAAAATCGATTACACACACATACACACACAAATACACACATATATATATTCTTATTTGAAATATAAAATGACAAATAGGCTCTGGCAAATTCCAAATGAATCTTTCAAGTTATAATTCTTAAACAGAAAATATAAAATCCATGCAAGAAAAGATATAAATCCGTTTTTTATTTCGTCAGAGGGCTCTGAGTTTATAAAGTAGAAATACGAGTCACATCTTCACCAGAGGCGAACTGGCTATTGTGCCTTTGTGCCGTGGCACATGAGCTCCCTGGTAAGAAATGCATGGGTCATACATGACTGTCAGAGCTGGTGGGATGGTAAGGGCTTAAATTCATAATGAAATGGCACAGCTCCCAAAAAGAGCCCAGTGTGCCTCTTATCTTCACTCAGGTGCTCAACACTGTCGAGGGCCGAACCCTCTAAGCTCGACCAATATTGCATAGCCTGCTCCCAAGTCTATCCATTCCAGTCAGTGACTTGCTTGAAATCTTTCAGAAACCGATCCAGATCCTTTTTTGCCTTCCCCTTGAATACCGGGTGTTTGTGCTGCTGGCCTCGCTCTCAGGGACTTGTGTCAGACTAATGCCCCCCCCTCTCGTAATTTCGATGGATGCTAGGATGAGATGCTGTCAATGTCCTTGTTTCTAAGTGGAAGCCACTCACAGAGAATATGACACCTCAATTGGTGGTTAGTCCCTGGTAGAGGGCTACACTAATGAGCTATTCAAGGTGGCCTTTCATATAGCCTTGTTTGAACCAATATGTCTAGAGTTGCCGTTGACATGACAGAGAGCTTTTCCACCCAAAAAGGTACCTGCGTTGTTGGATCATGGATCATGCCTATTGTCTCACCTGCTGAAGAGACATACTGCTGCGTACTGCTTGTTTGTTAATTTCGGGTAGAAATTCTTTCTGGGGAACTTTAGCAATACAAGTCCTTCTTGATTAAACCAGTTAATTCTTTCTCGATACAAACTTTTTGTACACAGTAATTCCACAGTCAGAACGTTTATAGTCACTTTAAACTTAAAAAAAATTAGAATACAAGCTATAAATCACAGCGATTCACTATCTCGATAATATCGCTCTCTACGAGTGCAAAACACGCACTAGCTCGGAACAGAATCTTAAATTACCCGAAACTCACAATGACTACTGTTCGCTTTATCATACTGTTACGACAGCGAAAGTCACGTGACGCTAGTAACACGTCATGTTATTCTAGAAAGGAGATCATGACCACGGCTGCACAACTTCCCGTAAGTTTCTTGGTATAACCGTTTGCCAGGTCGTCACTTTCCAATCTCCGGACAAGAATACCATTTTCAAGCTTAAACTGGTCCCATTGTGCCCACTAGTTCTTTGTCACAGGGCTTAAGCTAGACACATTCTACCAAGCAGGGCGTAAAACACTTGCTTTTAGAAAATCAATTATTGGCTTCAAATCTGGGTCTTTCTCCTGCTCTGCTTTAATATCGATACCTGGTTTCACTTCACCATCATCAACTTCTTCAGTCACTTTGACTTCAGATTGATGAAACCTGGTTAGTTCAACCTTGCTTTTGCAGCAATGTCTGCAGTCATTTTTGCAGGGTCTTCCGCTCAGTCCATCAGCATTTCCATGAGATTTTCCTTCTCTGTATTCAATATCATAATTATACTGATCTATCTTTCCAATCCAACATGCCAGTTGTCCATCTGGCTTCTTTAATGATCTTAACCAGCGTAATGCAGCATAGTCTGTTTTGATGGTAAACCTGGTACCATAGAGGTAAGGATGGAAATATGTCTGACTCTTTACTACAGCAAGGAGTTCCCTCCATGTTACACAGTAGTTCCTCTCTGGTCTACTCAGGACCCTACTGAAGTAGGCCACCACATGTTCGTTTTCACCCACTTTCTGAGACAACACTTCTCCAATTCCGACATTACTAGCATCACAATCCAGTATGTACGGCAGTGAGGGACTTGGAAGCTTTAAAAGTGGAGCTGAGGCCAATTTTTCTTTCAATGTCTTGAAAGCATGCTGGCAAGAAACTGTCCATTCGAACTTCTGGCTTTTTTAGTCAAATCATGTAGTGGAGCAGCTATAGTTGCAAAGTCCTTCACAAACTTCTGGTAATAGGTACAGAATCCTAAGAAACTTTTTAACTCTCCCACATTGTCTGGTGTTGGCCAATCACCAACTGCTTTCACCTTTTCAGGATTAGTTTGCACACCATGCTCACTTACAATGTGACAAAAGTAAAGCACCTCTTTCTGGAACAAATGACATTTCTTGGAATGGAGTTTGAGGTTTGCTGCTT